GTTGAGGATGGACAAAAATGCATATGTGCAATGAGAGAGAGAGGAAAAAAAATTTTTTCCCCATGTTCTTCCTATTTATAATTTCAGCATACATTACTAAATACTATAATGGGCCACAAACAAAAGAGACACTAACAATAATATGCAAGAAAGTTGTTAAGAGCTTTTGGGTGCCCTCTGAGATTGAAGACTCCTATTGGCTCAATGAACATTGAATCAGGCCCTGAAGATATAAAAATACTCTCCGTTCAGTTCAAAACTGAACGAAATAGGTTGCTAGGCATCACAATAATAGGTTTTCCTATGTGTAATTAATTATTCAGACTGCCAATACATTAGGCAAATAGTCTAAACTAATCAGATTATATTAACTGGTTTTCAATATCTTCTATAAAGATCAAAGCTTAAATTTAGCCATATTGCGTTTCTCTGATATAATTTATAATGAAGCAGTTATCAATACTGGAGATGATGAACTTGAAATGTGAATGTTTAGAGTGGTATGATTTTCAGAAGTGGTGAGCATCCACATCTCCTGCTGACTTCAATGAACTGAATTTGACTGTGTCTAATTTAGAGCCAGTGTAGAGAACTGAGCACCAGGTCATAAGCTCATGGTAACCAAGCTAAACAGATGTGTTGGTTCATTTGGAAAGGTTGCAGTTTTTTCATAGCAATTGGCTTCAGTCCTAGTTTTGAGTATGAATTACAATAATCTAGACCAGAGCTCATGAAAATGTAGATCATAGTGGCCAAATCTGTGGCTGATAGGATGCAGTACAACCTTTTGGCTAGTCACAAGTAGGTGTTTAGCTATTTAGGCATCCAAAAGGACCTCAAGGCTGCTAGATCAATTTAACAATCTGAGGACAGATGCCCTCGTTGTTAGGAAGTGCTGTTGAGTACTCAAGTTCTTCGAGAGACTTCACTCTTCCTAGTAGTATCACCTCTGTCTTGATGCTAGATTCAGCCTTAGCACTAGCCAGCAGCTCCATGTGCTGTTTTCAGCAAAACATTGAAAAAAAAAAATAGAAGCTCTTTGGGGGTAGGGGCTGTCTTTTTTTTGTTCAGTGTTTGTACAGTGCCTAGCATAGTGGAGTCCTGTCTATGATTGTGATTCATATGCGCTATGATAATGCAAATTAATAGTAGTGCTGTTTATGTATGACATGAAGGAGATATAGAGCTGGATGTGTTGGTGTGCTTCTGGCACTTCAGGCAGTGTTGTCTTCGAAGTCTTGCCATGGCACTATGTAGATATTGAATAACATGGGGGAGAGGATTGAGTCTTGTGGGAGACTCTGTGAGGAAGGTTTGGGAGGTGAACTAGCATTTTCCCATAACAACCCTCTAAATTCAATCTGAGAGGAGGGACCTGACCCATTTTCCATTCATCTCTTCCATCTTTCAGAGGTAGGACAGGCATATTTGGTTTTCAACATTATTAAATCTGCAGTGAGGTCCAGCAAGATGAATTTTGGCACATTTCCCTTGGCTGCGGAAAGGAGAAAGTCACCCCCTAAGAGCAACAAGTGCTCTCTGTGCCCTAGCCTGAAGCCTGAGGGAGAAGAATCTAAGATACTGACAAGAGATGATATTTTTGCTAGATTTTTTTGATTAACTTGCTTTAAAAAGGGAGGCTAGACATTAAGTGGTTTGAGTGATGGCTTCTTTAGCACTGGTTAGACTTCCATGTTTTTACATGTATGACAGATTCCCCTTGTTAATAGGGGCCCCATGAAGTCTCTGTTTGTCTTTTACAATCCAGGAAAGGCAAGTGTCGCAGCTGGTGGTTCTGATTGGAATGAGTACTTCCATAGCTACTATTGGCATGACGGGGCTGAAATCTTGTGAGGAGAGTTTTTGGTCCTATGGCTGGTTTGTTCCCCTTGATGGCCCTGAGGCTTTCCCAGATAGAACCTCTTTCTGGAACGAATTGTGTTCCCAGATTGAATGGAGACTGTCTGTCTGGTTTACAAGCAATTTACAGTTATTTTAATTTTGTTTTCTAAACATTGTTTCTTTCCTCTTTACTTTCTGTATATGTAGGATTATCTCTTAGCATGACTGTCCAAACCAAAGTACTTTCTACCAAACCAGAAAAATCTCTGATCTCCTGCCCTGTAGTATTGCCCTGAAGCAGTACATCTTATTTGCAATATTTAATCTTTATGCTCATACCAAAAGTGTTAATTTAACCATATATTTTATATAAAATTCAGCATCATGTGTGAAACTCCACAGGATGAGAATTTTTACCACAAATGCAAACGTTCTTGTTTGATATTTTTCCTTCCTTAAGAAATATGGTTTGCCATTTGAAATACTGGAAGAACCTGGTTGCAGATTTTCATGCTATTGTGATGTTTGTAGATGTTTCTCGATAATGAGATGTTTTTGTCACTATTATTGATGATATTTACATTTTTCTGTTAAACCATCACTCAGAATGTGGGTATTTAACATTGATTTGTTATTTTTAAATCCCATAATAATCTTAACCTGATTGGTAATGTAATGGATTTGGGTTTTTAGTGACATCTTGAACAGATATAATATAAAATTCAAGCTGTCCATTAAACCGTTTTGCTTTCAATCTGTCAGAGTTATATAAGCTTCTAGCGCTACTGACTGATAGTGATGAACAATACTTCCCAGCAGTTTAAAAAAAATACAATATAGTTGAAAACATACTGGATTATCTCCTTGAATTTGATTGAAACTTCCTTGTTATACAAATAACATAACAAAGTTACACATCAATCGCCAGTGCTCCATTGTATTCAGAAATTAATTCCACATTCCTTTTGTGATTTATCTAGACTGTATGGGTATAATGATGTACAATTACTATTATCTGTTTTACAATAGTGCCCAAGGAAGACTATGCACTGTTGTGCTAGACATAAAGGCATGATCCCTGCCTCCCAAATTCTTATAATTTAAGAAGATAAGTGATATATGGAGGGCGAGGGAGATGGATACAATTAAGTATATACAGTTTTTATATGTACACTATATATGTTTCTTAGAAAACATCTCACCTATACCTAATTTGAACTGGGGTGCCAAGCAACTGAGCATGTGTCTGGTGTTTGTACACCTTCCAATACAGAGAGCTGAAATTACACAGGAGAGTCACCTAGATAAAATGGCAACTGGGCATTTCATACCTACAGAGAGAGCTGTTGATGTGATATCAGAACTATGAGAGTGAACCTTGAGTGGTTCGATATTACCTAAATCAAAAGTTAGAATTATAGCCTAGTAATCGAGGGTTATAATGTGTAGTACATCTTTTTGTTTAATGTCTGGAACCTGTTTTATTTCTATATTTTTAAAGTGAACATGCGAAATCATGGCAACAGAACATATATGCAAATCAAGAGTGAAATACCCCCACCACCACTAATGGACTAATGTTGGCAATAGTAACCCAAAATATTTATATATTGTATAAAATCATTTTATACAAATATAAATACATACACACACATATACACACACGCATACAAGATGTACATAAATAAATACATCGGGTGAAATCCTGTCTCCACTGACGTCAATGGGTAGTTTTCTTTTTCTTTACACGCTCTCCTACTGCCCTCCTCCCCATTTTGAGTTTGGAGCAGAATTATAAATCCAAGCAAAAACAGCACACAAATTTTAATATTTAATTACAACATACATTTTATCACTCTGATGAGGAGCAAAGCCAAGAGCTTGGCTACTTGTGCTCATTAAAGACCCTAACATTCTTTAGGTAAACGTCAGCTGAATTCCAACTCAGATTATTGTTATGCCTCCCTAAATTGTGCCTGCAGTTTCAATTGGAAAAAATATTCTTTACTCTCTGCCCTGAATTGTTGCATAGTGTTTCTGTGTGCTGCTAAATAACTGCTGGGTTCCCCTCAAGTTGGCTGTATTTCAATGGTGTTGATGAATTAGCTCCTTGTTATCATAGCTCTTTCAAGAGTACCTCATGTATTCCTAATGTACCCATTGCAGTGGCATCCCAGCACCAAAGACACAAATTAAGGATAGCACTAACATTTTTCCTAAAGGGACCTCATTCTCCACCTCTCTGACTATTCTTTTTCTCAGGGTTTGAGGGAAGGTCGCAATTCTTTGTTATAATCTGTAAAGTGCTTTTGAAAATCTTGGAAGCAAAGGACCAATATAACACTCAGATACTAGAGCAATAGACACATGGTATAAGAACCTAGGTGGATAGATAATGCAGATGTGAGATCATTATCAAATATAAGATGTATCTATCTGATTTCCATGCATTTCTTCCAGTTAACCAGCAATCACACTTAGTGATTCTTCTTACCCCAGCCATTTACACTCATCACTTGCAGCCTGACCAGGAAGCATTCATGCCAAATCTGAACAAATCTGCTGTAACTTTCCCACATTATCTCATTGCAGAGCCAACAGTATGTAGCAGCTGGAATGTAGCAGATCTATCCTCCTCTGTCCTGTTATGAATTACCAAAAGCCTGCATCACAGAAGGCAAGCACACAGTATTGTTATTTTATTTTCTGTTTACAGTAAATATTTCTGAACTACTGAAGTATATGTAGACTGGTCTGCTCTCATCTGACAATTGTACTCATAAAAATGCCCCTGGCCTACAGAGTGGTTGTGCTATGCTGATTTCTGGTGGTCTTTTCTCCCTTCTATTAAGTTCACCTCAGACCTGTTTGCCAGAGTAGAAATAAATTTCAGGATTTAATGAGAGTCTCAGTTGAGCATTTTTCTGTAATAGAAAAAGAAGAAAACAAATAATTAAATAGAAATAGAAAAACCAAGAGATAGATTATGCTCCCTCAGCAACAAAAGTATCTCCTATTTACTGTGTATTTGGGGAAGCAAAGAATCTTACGAATTTGTGTTGTAGAGTTAATTTGTTCAAGAATGAAAAATTTCAACCTCTTTACTTGTGCCATTTAAGTCATTTTTTAAAAAATGCTCATATAATTTTCAAATGTTAAAAACCAGAAAGCATTCCAATTCATTTCAATGCCCATTTTAGGGGTTTCAAAGAGCTTTAACATTCATTGTGCCCTACTCTCAAGATTGTACATGATTTGTGATTAAGTATGTAGGCAGGTGTTGGTGATGAATTTAAGTGAAATGAGAGATACAGTTCAGTAGTTTATAATTAAGCATGTGCCTGAGCTGGACACCCTCGGTGTTTGGGGATGTTTGGACCAAAAGCTGAATTCTGTAGCATGGACATGTTTATGCTTCTATCAGATGCACCCTTTTTATGGACAATGCATGCACAGTACAGTGGGTTCAATGTATTGCTTCAAATGCTTCAGCATTCTATTTTTTATATGAGTTAACTAAGACTTTTGAAGAACCTAACACATGTTCAGTTGATGTTTTACAAAAACATCTCCCTTTTTAAAGTCGTCTTCACTTGTACAGTCACTGAGGAAAAGCTAGAATTATTTCTGATTTACCAATCCACAATTAAATCCCTCTATGTCAAGTGAATTTTTTCCCAATTCTGGTTCATACAAGCTCTTAGTGACACAAACAAGCCAGATCTATGTACGGTCACAACAAACCAAACCCACAACATAAGTCAGCCAGTCTCTGCTGAACATCACCACCCTGGTGCATTTTTCCATCTTTACCTTTCATTGGGAAGCAAACTGACTAGTGTGTTCTGTCTCAAATAGTTCTTGTCAACACTCCAACGATTCTTGGGGTTTTGGAAATGTCGTCCCTTCTTTCCTGTAAGAGGTGTGTGGATAATAGTGAAGAGCAGATGCTGCTGATAGAAGAAAGGCCTGATTTGATTCATTCTCTGGATCCTAGGAGGTGTTACAGCAGCAAGCGAGATGGCTTAGCAAACTCTAATTGCAGAAAGGAGGAGAGAGAATGTCAAGCACCCCACGAGAGTTTGGATTATTTACCTTCACACAGCAGAGTTTACAAGAAGTGGCTACAGGAGAAAACGTACAGGTAACAATGCCCCCAATATGTACTGTCCTGTTCCTCCTAGATCGCGGGCAACTTGTTTTAACTCTGATTAGCACCAAACTGTAGAAAATCAAAAAAATTGAAGTGTGTAGGTCTTTCTAGAGAATAAATTTTTTCAATTGTGGAAAATTGGGGAGCAAAAAGTCTATCTACTGATGTGTGCACCTCTCCATTGTAGTTTCTGAGTGCCCCACAAATACTGATGAATTCATCTCTGTAACACTCCTGAGAGATAGAAAAGTATTATCTCCATTTTACAGCTGGTGTCTGAGGCACAGAATAAATTATTTGGCTAAGATCACACAAGAAGTTTAAGCTAGCTCTATCTTTCCCTTATGAAAGCTGCTCAGAAGGGTGGGGGTCAATAAGTTAAGTAGATACTAGAATCATGAGATGAACAATTATTTTATTTCTGGAGTTGGGGAGGCAGAATGATGTTGTGGCTTATACCCTGGACTGGACATCAGACAACCTAGATTTTGTTCCCATTCTAGCTATATAAACATACCCCATTCCCTTGTGCGTCTGTCCTAGAACATTTTCTTATGCCTTTTTCTCCAGCTCATAAAATGGTTTGAGTATACATATTCTATCTCAGAGGGGTTCTGAGAGACTCAATTCACTAATACTCACAAAGTGCACTGAGCTAATTATATGCAAGTTGCTACTGAACTGCAAAGCCTTATTTTAAAAACAATAAAGTGAATTGTGAAAGATGCTCACAAAATGATGGGGATAAGGGATTGAGTGGCCTTTTCATTTATTTCCCTGTTTAAGAAAATGTCTTCACGTAATCGTAGCCAAGAAGGGAGGCAACTGGACAACTAACCTTTTTATTCAGTGTCACTTCCCTGGAAATCCTTATACCTTACTGAGCATGCAACTAGTATAACCCGTTGTTCAATTTGTACAATTTGGAAGGAAAATGCATGTTAAAGACTTTGCAAGGGATTTGGGGGTACCCTCTTCAGGGGAAATTGCTTGCAAATATCTGACCTTATATTCTAAAGCCAAAAATGTTCTCTCCAGAAATGTTTTATGAGCCCAAGAAATAAGTAAACTCTGTCAGGGATGATTTAGCAGTACATGATGCCTTATGCTAACCAGGAATTATTCATAAAACACCATAGATATGCACTCTATTTAAGGGATATATGAACTGGATGCAAAGGCATAATTTTATATAATTTATGCTTTGTGTCAATGCATTAACTAAAACAGGGGAAAACACAGTAAAACTTTTGAGGCCAAGATGATAGAGAGAAAGCCACTGCTGCCATTCAATATTTAATGCTACTTAATAGCCTCTATAGCACTTTGCTTCTTATGAGTGCAAACGTTAACTCAGATGAACATGGGACTGATGGCTGAGTAATATGTGCCTCGTTAGCCCTCACATAACTAAACTGCATGATTTCAGCAAACATTCTTTAGTGCTGGGCACTGCCTGGGCCCACCTGGAGGGAGATTATAGTGCCACCAGACCCCTATGGTTGTGTATATCTAAGAGTTTAGAGCCTTTTTTCAATAAATTATTGGTAAAAAATCTTGCCCAGGATGGTAGTGTCCTAAAGTTTGTTTTATTTTGTGATTGATTGCTCTGAAATGAGTTAGTGACCTCAGATCACATCACAGGTATTCCCCCTGAGAAAATCTTCACTACAGTGGATGCTTATTGGGAGCCCCTTCATCTCTTAGCAGAGACCAAACGTTACACAGACCTGAAGAGACTGCCAATGGGGTGGTCCCTTCAAGTCAGGAATGGGGCAGAGTGGGGATATGTGCAATGCCAATAGAACAGATGTAGCATGGCCGTGGACAATAGAAAACTTCAGTTTTCAGGGTTGTGAGTCTGGCACCTCCATGAGCACTCAATTCACTAGAGAGGAGGAAAAACACCTTACTTGTTTTTGGTGCTCAGATACAGAAATACGATTTCTTGGCCCTTAGGTTAAAAAGTTTTAACATCCCTCTGTGTGTTTGTGTTATGTTGTATTTACTATAAAATGTATTTTGAAGTAGCACTATCTAGCTCCTTAGCCAAATGGAACTGATTCCCAAAGGAAAATGGCTTTTTGTGAATATATGTAGTCTTCTGCTTAATATACCAGGTTTGTGTGGTTTGGCCTCTCTTTCAGTCACAGATAATAATCAAAACAAGCATACCTTTTTGCAGGAGGCAATTTGACAAACCATCCTGAGCTCGCTGCAAAGGACTAATGTTACTATTCCATCTTTAGAACTGACTGGGATCGATGGATGTTGATGGGGCTAATTGGAATAGGAGTAGGAATGCTGGGATTCCTGACACATCAGATAATTGACTATCTCATCAAACTAAAATGGGAACTGGTGAAAAATTACCTCCAGGTGAGCAGAGGAAAAACAAATTGGCCTCTCTTTTTACTTTGTTCTGATTGGTAGTAAAACTCCATGAACATGAAGTTTTTACTCCGCTACTCTACTGGCATCTTCTGTCAATGATTTTTTTTTTTTGCTGAAGAATTTCTTCCTAAAGGCTTGAATGAAGCATCTGCTGACTAACTGGGAAATACAATAGCTGACATTCAGTACATGATAAGCAGTTGGTTTAGCAAGTCTTCTGCATATACAGGCAACTATTCAGTAAATGCGATCCATAACAAACTCTTCTGGACTGATCTGCAGATCTGAAAGGAAAATGAAACCAGGTTTAATTTTCTAGAAAGCTGTTTCCATCAATCACTCTCTCAAAAGACTTCTATTTCTATTAACCAAAATTTAAGAGATTTCCCCACATGTCTTGAAAAAGTAACACTATGCATGTCAGTTACTATACACCTGTGTACCAAATTATGGGCCCGGTTATACAACCCCCTACTCTCATGAGTAATCGCACGGCCAATGTGATTTATTGCATGAGTAAGGATAGCTGGTTTGAGAATCAGATTTGCATCTGAATTTTAATACATTGTGTCTTGAAATTGGAACTAAATACATACATGCCTATGGTAGCAGATGGAAATAAAATTCATCTGCATCACTGATAATACAAAAGCAGCTAAAGGGTGGCTTGGATGCTTATGCTTCAGGTTTGTAATGGCTACACACTCTGACACCAAAGGTACAAATCCTGGTGGAGTTAACTCAGGCTCAGTCTTTCTAAGACAGACAAACTGAGTACCATGCAGTTTATTGTGTGCGTGCTTGCTTGATTGGAGGCGGTGAGGACCTGATGGATGGGAAAAGAAGGAAGCTGGTTGTCAGTACTTGGCAAGCCCACAGTTAAGAGGTTCATAACAGGAAGGAGCTTTCCCATCTTTGGCAGAAAAATGTAGACATTCTAGGCTGGACTCTGATACCTTAGCACAATGACCATGGGTATGGACAGGTGTTCAGATATCAGTGATGAGCATGGTATGAATACCTAATATCTTTGTTGGATAGGACTTTGAAATAATGCTTCCAAGGCCTTCTCAGCTGAAGGGAGCTCTAAGCACTTCAGGAAAATGCAGAGGTGGACTTGACATCTACAGGAAATGGGGGATGAGAAGATCAGTGTACCTCTGAGATATGAAAACAATTAAAAATGGGTTCCAGTAGAATGACCTATATGATGCTCTGAGTCCGAGTCTGCCAAGAAAGCAGACTTTGTCCCCAGGCATTGTAACCGTCCTAGTACTGGATCACAAAATTTTCCATTGTGTGTGTCACTGCTTCCAAGCAGCAGGCAGAACTCATCCCACTATCCTTGTGATGGTGGTGTTGCATTACAGTAGTACCAGAGACCACGCTAAGATCAGGATCCCTTTGTGCTAGTTGCAGTACAAACAAGTATTGAGAGGGTTCCTGCCATAAAGACCCCACAACCTAAATTCATTCTCCAACTACAGAGCAGCTGAATTCAGTTCTGTGTACCTTACCTTCCTGTTTTGCCACTCTATACAGTACACTAGAAAAAAGACCTGGCATGAGGTGCAGACAGGAAGGCTGAGGTGGCCTGCTGTACTACTATGATTTGGGAAACAAAGGGGACAGCTTTGGCTTGCATACACAGTGAATCAAAGCCGAACAGTCGGGAATTTTATAAAGTATGTGGGTGCTGATGTGCTTGTGATGAGTTCTGGAGACAGCATGACTGCAGTTAATCCAAACACAAACAAACCAACCAACCTTGGCAGACTGAAACATGTTTAAATTGAAAAGACTGAGTATAAGAGATGTCACTTTATTAAAGAAATAACAGAGGGAACTATCTAGATGAATTTACGGTTAGTATTATTGGGTAAAATTTTAAGAGTTATCTATTGTAATAGATTCAGGCCGCAGTTCAGGAAAGCATCTTTATTCAGTATAGCACTTAAGCACATAAGCAATGGAGTCAATGGAACTTGAGTAAGTTCTGTCTTGGTTTGGGGCCTTCAGGGAACACTAAAATACCCTTTGCTATGTTGTATGGGCATGGGCAAATTGGTTTGGAAAACTAAGAGCCACTGTGAACCTTTCTCTTATCTAAAACCCAGACTCAACCCCATATTTTCAAATAGTCTGCAACACTTGCTTCTCTCTTTCCCCTGTTTTCATTCTTATATGCTGTAAATTGTAGGACTTGCTACAGTGGGTTATGAAAGAAAATGGACAAATGAACAGAAAAATGTATCTCTAAATATATATCACTATCTAGTGTTGGCAGAGGGTTTGAGACAGTACACATACTTGTTTTCTATACCATTGCTTATGCTAATAAATTATTTGTAAAACGCAGAACGGCAACTTCCACATGACCTGGATTTGCATACTTGGGTCAGGACTGGCCATGATTGTTGTATCTTCAGGGCTAGTGGTGGTAAGTGTCTCTCTTACTCAACTACTGTAAAATATCAGTGGAGTTCTGAGAGATGGAGGCTTAATTACAGAAAAGGAGTCTTAGAACATATACCCTGTATAGTCCTCACTGGGAAACAGTCAGAGGCCTAACACAGGTCTATAATGCTGAGATCAGACACATCCCTTGCTCCTGTGTTTTTTTGTTATGTCAGTGCCTTCTAAGTGCTACTATAGTTAAGCATGATCAGAATTTCTCCATGATTTCTGTTTTACTGGCTATGTAGGGAATCCTGGGATTGATATCCAGTCTGAGATCCAAATTCAGGCCCTGTGAGCACATGCAATTCCTATGGCAGTCTCGGGCAAAATAAATGTTGGTGTAAATGGTCGTATAAGTTATACTTTAGGTATACATTGGTCATAAAATGGATACAAGTGGCAAATTAGCGTAACTTGCACAGAGTTGGAGCCTGATCCTAAAATAAACACTCACAATGACTTCAAATGGGGTTTGGCTCAGACCTGTGTGTGAAATGAGTGTGACTTACATTTCCAGTTCTTCTTTGAGGCTCCAGCACCTCTACCAGACTGCAAAGCCAACACAGAAAGCCCGTTTCCCATCTACCATCTTACTGGGTTCAATTTAATCACAAGAAGGCAGCTAGTAGCGTCAAGGGGGAGGGGGAGAGAAGAGAAAAATAAACATTTAATGGAACTTTCCAAAAAAGCTAAGGAAAAGGTATATGTGGGATACACTTATCTATTTGCTTAATACAGAAGTCTTGAGCTATGTCAGAGAAGGAACTGAAAGAATGGATGACTTGATAGAACAAGTAACTGTAAGTTGTGAGAGAAGTTATGAACTGTTTGTGAAAGCTGCAATTATTAGCTGCAGGTGGATCTGAATGCCTGTATTTGGAAATCATTTTTGACTCTCTCTTTACAGTTCTTTTGCCCAGCAGGTGCACCGTATGGGCTTCCAGAAGTCATTGGGTTTCTGAATGGTGCTTCTATTCTACACATTTTTAATGTCAAGACTTTTTTGGGGACGTTTGTTTCTTGTGTGCTGGCTGTGGCGTCTGGGCTCTTCTGTGGACCGGAAGGCCCTATGATTCACTTAGGGTAAGGAACACGATGGAAGAGTTTAAACTGTCAGGGTCTGATTGTCCGTTGCTTTACACCGGTGCCAAGTGGTGTAAAATGCTCAAATCAGACTTGTTTTCTCACAGAAGTGGTGGTATTTGAGGCCCGCTTTGCACAGGATAAATGACTGCACAAGGTGCAAAAGAGTGGGAAATTGGATGCTCAGGTTCCATAAGATCCCTAGATTAAAAAGAAGACAACCCACAGTTATAGTCAATAGTGACCACAGAATTGGTCAAAACTGCTTCTCTTTGCAATTCCCACAGGATAGTAGATTGCAAGTCAGAATGGAGCTGCAAATTATTTATATCCCAGTGTAGTGCCATATTTGTAGTTGGGAAAGTAATATCACAATATGCTCTTGCTGAAAGAAACATTCGATTTTATTTTTTTCCTATTTAAATAAAAAGAAACAAACAGAAATCCTCCCAGTCCTTCAGCTGGGTCCCTGGGAGAGGAATCCTCTTCTTTTATTTCCTCCTATTAAGCAGTCTCATGAGTAGAGGTGATAGTCAGGTTCTTTCTGCTTGTGTAGTACATTTCCTTTTTTGGCTGACCTATTAGGGTTAGGGTAAAGTATTTATCCTTGAGGTTTGCTCTCCTCATCTCCACGAAACCCCTTTCCTCCACTCGTATCATTTTACTTGTACATAGGTGCAGCAGCCCTCAAGGATTCAAAAATAAGAGAGTAAGGTTTAGTCAGAGGCGAACACAACCATTTCAGACAATGATTACCAAGGCCTAGCTCTCCTTTTCAGGTTTCTTTTGTTTGCTTTACTTTCAGACTTTTGTCTCCAGGCGCTCAGTGGCTGCAGCTATAATCCCCCCCCCCCATGTTTAGTTTTGTAATAGTGACGCATGATCCAAAAAAATGCAATCAAATTTCCATAAAGAAAATCAGAACAGTATTAACTTAATGCCTTAAAATAGTGGCATAAAGAACTAATTTAATTGAATTTATTTTTAAAATATCCAATTTTTATTGTACATCAACACACACAATTTTGTTACAAAGAGTTTTATACAAAGAATATAAATATTTTCATGATTTTAAATGTCAATGAAAACTGTTTTCTTGGATTTAAGTGCAGCCCTGAAGCATTGTCTGAGACATGGTATAGTAAATGAAACCACTATGCATCTTCCACTGGGAGTGAGACTGCGTTGCTCTCAACGGTGATTAAACTTGAAATGGATGATTGAAATGGACTATAATTAAGGTTAAGATTTTGTCACGGAAGACCTTCCAGAGACCTCTGTGACATTTTCTGCTTCAGCCCCAGGGCAGTGTGGCTGGAGGTGTCAGCTGGCAGGGGCCCAGCAGCTCTCAGGGGCTAGCTCTAGCGGCCAGCTCTCAGCCACTGCAGGTAGTGGGGAAACCCTTCAGCACATGCAGGTGATTGGGAGCCCCCCCCCCCACAGCTCCCAGCCACTGGTGATAGCAGGGCTTGTGTGTCCCAGCCACCATGGGCAATGGGGGCCGGGGGCCGGGACCCTGGAGCCCAAGCAGCTGTGGGTGCTGGACCCAGGGCCGGCTTTAGGCCGATTCAGCCGATTCGGCTGAATTGGGCCCCACGCTGCAGCTGTCCACCCCACCCCCAGCTCACTTCCCCCTCCTCCCCTCC